AACTCTTTTCCTTGCTGGGACAGGTTAGCTAGCGCAGGAGTTGGGCGACCTCTTCGCACAATATCCAGCTTTTGGTGGAAGGTCTGTCTTGAAAATTGTGTGGAAAGTAGTTCTGCAACCAGATCAACGTCTTCTCCTTTGGCCATTTTGGGTTAAAATGCGAGTGATAGCTCTAGCAGGCGCTAATCCAATCTTTTTTTTTTTTTATCTTTATTGAACAAATCAGGATACAATTCTCAGGAAACAGAAAAGGCGCTAATCCAATCACCGAACGCGCACGGCCAGTCTCGACGTAAGGCCTTCTCGCTAGCCCCAGTATGCAGAGAGAACAAGTCAGGATACAGGATACAGTCTGAGACTCGTGATCTGATATGCTATTGAAACCTGACTGTGCCCGTTCACTTACAGCGCACAGGGGCCTGCTCTGTTTAATCTGAAGGCCCCGAGCAAATGTAATTTACCTGGCAATACAGCTAGCTGAAATATGATTGGTTAAAAACTCTACCATAATAAATAACTTATTTGTCGAGTGGCTTTCAATGTTATTTAAAATAACATTGAAAGCCACTAAACTAAGTGGAAATATTACAACGTAAAGAATACAGAGAATAATTTTGTTTCCATATTTATGAAAATAAAATAAATTATAAAATACATAAAAGTAAATTTACTTTTCTGAGAATGTTTAGGCCAGCAGAGAAGGCCTTGCTGGCCCTCAGGGTCCGCCACTGACATTGAGTTATTCAGAAAACTATAGCATAAAGAACATGCTAACAAGTTCACCAAACCATAAATGTCACTCCAAATCACTAAATCCAATGAAATAATCATCCTCTGTGTCACTTTAAAACAACTCCACCAACTTTGGAGGTAGAAGATGCAGCGCTTCCTCTTCTAACGTCGCTTACGTCAGACTCATCGTGGTTTGATCAACGCAGGTCTAGAGCGGCCTCTTGTGGTTAAATGTGAAAATAACATGTGAAAGGATATACAGTAATGTGTGAATAATTTCACCCATAAATCGCTCCAGAGTATAAGTCGCACCCCCAGCCAAACGATGAAAAAAAACTGCGATTTATTGTCCGGAAAATACGGTATGTAAATTTGAAAATAAAGCCTCAAACATATTAATTTAAATTGTTTGATGCGGGTGACTGGTGACCGCGTCCACCTCACAGTGCAGCGGTATGAAATTTGATTCCGAGCTGCGGCCTTCCTGTGTGGAGTTTGCATGTTCTCTTCGTGGGTTTTCTCCGGGTAATTTGGTTTCCTCCAACATTCCAATCATTAGTTATTTGAACACTCTTTATTGTTCCTAAGTGTAATTGTGAGTGTGAACGGTTGTTTGTCTACTGGATGCATGCCCTGCAATTGGCTGTCAACCAATTCATGGTGTAGCTCGCCGACTGCCCAAAGTCAGCTGGAATAGGCTCAAGCGACCCCTGTGAGGATAAGCGACTCAGATAATGAATGGATGAATAAATTGTTTCATGAATTAGGTTAAAACATTAAATTTGAAGAGTAACCTACCAGAGTTTTGTAATTTAGCATTTCATTTCACACAAAGATGAAATAACCAAAATACTATTCTAAAACCATGTGAACAAAATATGCTATATTAATTCAAAGGTAAGTACAGTACATTTTTTCCATGACTAATTTATCATTATTTTAAAGGACATTTGTTAACAGGTCAAGATTAAATGATTTGTTTCGTTATCATTTTCAGTAGCGGTCATCGCGCTTCCATAGACAGTGAAGTAGTACGCATGTAACACAACATTTAATATGAATAAAAATAATTTTATGTCACAGCTTGGTCATTTAAAAAAAACACAAAAAAACTAAATCACAAGAGTACAAGACGGCATTCACATTTAACTGTTAATTAAACAACATATTGGTCTATTGAGGCTGGATGGAGACCATCTTGAATCCTCTGACAGTGGACTTGTTTGAGAGGGTCAGCGAAGCCTGAAGCATCTTAGTTCCCGTCATCCTGGGGACAAAGGTGATGCGTTGCTTTCCGCTTCCTCCTGGACGCAGCGGGAACATCCTGGGAAAAAAAAACAAAACAAAAAAAAACAAGAAAAATATTTCTTTTAATGAATCAATAATGTACTGCTCACTTCAAATTGTACTTTTCGGCTCGATCATTGCCTTTTTAGTCCAATTGAAACTTGGGATATTGGTTACCATTTTTTTTCGGACAGATACAGAGTACGGATATGCAACGTTGCTTCGCTTCTTCCGTCGAAAAACTTCCACAGTCTTATCATCTTCACCATGTTCAAAGAAGGAGGAGATGGCAACTTACTTGAAGTTGGCGTGGCCTTGGAGGAGGCCGGCGCCGGACACACTTAGCACGCCGCTTACGGGATGCGAGAAAGGGTTAGTAAAGGTCACGCTGGCGCTGTGCTCCCGCTTCAGGGCCAATTTGTCTTCTCCTTCAATCTGAAGGGAGAAGCAACGTTAAAATCCAAGTCATTAGGGACACCTGAAGAGTCCATCCGTCCATCCATTAAAGGGGAACGACAGGCAATAAAAAAATGTTGGGCAATATGTGCCCCCACTCGTCTAAACAAAGTATTTTGGAGAATACTGCACTCATGGAGTAAGAATTAGGCAGATTTTTCCATTTATTTTCATCCATTTGAAGTGGCTGCTTTTTGTGGACCAAAATTGCTCTCTGCTGTCGACCAAAACTGATGTAAAAATGCCTTTGGGCTTGAATTGTGAACAGCATAGCTTTTCTGAGTTCGGTCTCAGGACGATTTGCTTTTAGTTCGACACTGAGAACAGATTAATCACGATAATAGAGATTCTGCTGTAAATCACAGGCATCAGGAAAAAATACCCATATGTACTGACTTCGCTAAACTGAGCATGTTTTGTCAGTTGTTGATTGGCGGCTGTATTCTGTCTGCACGCCTTGCTGATTCACTTCGGTGTTTTCCCAGCCTGTACTCAATGGCATGTTAGCGAATTGGCATCCTGACATTGATCTGCACCGCAGTTCCAAAACAGAGGTGGAGCCAGCCAGGTACACAAAAGAAGAAACACAACCATTGACACAACAATGTCAATGCACAGTGACTATATGCTCATGATGCAGTACATTTAAACACATGACAAGTTTTTTTTTTTTTTTTTTTGTACAAAGACACCTTTATTTCAGCGCTGAAACAGGCTACAATATTTTTGGTATTCATTTATGCTGTTCTCTCAGTATACTATAGCCGTACTGATTTAAAAGTGCATTTAAAGACCTTTTTAAGCGCAATACTGTATATGCTGTAACAACATATGGTGCATTCCTATATTGTGAATGTCACTTATTATGGGGTGTTCTGGAACATAAGCCCTGCGATGGAGGGGGATTTACTGTAGTGTGAATTTGTATTTGTTTGAAAAGAACATTTTTTCTCGATTTTGACATTTCAAAACGGGTCAACTTGAAGGGGAGGATTAACAGTGCTACTGCAGTACTATCTACAGCACCTTGCAAATCGGATTACATTGACCGGTAAATCATGGAAAATTCACTCACTTAGTAACTCATAATTGGATACAAATTACTTAAACTCTCTATATAATTGAACAATATTTGAAAAATAAAAATGATAAAATGTGTTTATGCATTCCAAACTGGCATTCATTTTCCATTCATTTTTATGAGGTGTGAAAAAAGAAATCCGGTATGTTTATTTTTGTTGCTGAAACATCACAACAGAGGACTTTGCTTATGTACAATTTATGGACATAAATAAGGTCATAATAATAAACGTGGTTACAAAAATACATGAAAACATGAACATTATTATTGTTGTAAAGGCAGTATTTTTGATGGAAGTGTGGGGCAGCAAGTGTGACTGTGTGTGTGTGTGTGTGTGTGTGTGTGTGTGTGTGTGTGTGTGTGTGTGTGTGTGTGTGTGTGTGTGTGTGTGTGTGTGCGTGTGTGTGTGTGTGTGTGTGTGTACCTGAATAACAAGCTCTGGAGTGGCCACATTGAACTCCTCGAAGGCCAGCACACGCTCATGTGTGGCCATGTCCTCCAGCACCGCTGCCAGGTTGACCAGGTCGTCCCCGACCACGTCTTCGTACTGGCCCGGATGGATCTGCTGCTTCAGGACCTTCACTGCGCACACACAAACAAGGACATTTCACTATGTTTGAATAATCACTTTATTTCATTCATTTTTATTTAGATATTATTTCTCTCTATATAATCTTTTTATGTATTTCATTCTTTAATTGACAGAGATTAAAGATGGAACTTTCAACAAACACTGTCATCATACAAATGACAAAAGTCATTCATAATAATAAAGTGAATTTAAAATAGTAAAATATAAAAATGAAAAATAAATCAATGGTCCAACTGACTACAGTAGAATGTGACTAAAAAAATATAAATCCAATATATAAGAAGCTAATCACAGTATAAATGATTCTTAGATAAAAAGTGTTGCTTCATATAATTGTATATACCAGTATATGCATTGTATATATGTGTGTGTGTGTGTGTGTGTGTGTGTATATATACATTTTATAAAATGACATTATTAATAAAATACATATTACATGATTTATCCAATGAATTAAGTCATTTTACGGTAAATTTGAATTATTTTGACTGAAGAATTTCTAACTTCAGCAAGCTACTGTAGTTGACATTGAATCACTCATACTGAGTTCCATTTTGCATCATTTTCTTCACATTTCAATCCCCAATCAAGAAAATGAATACAGTGGTACCCATACATGGCAATGGCGAGTGATGAAAAAAGCGGAAGAGGCGTGGCCTGGACGGGGGAGTGGCCTGGACGGGGGCGTGGTTACTTACAAAAGTGGCACTAAACATGCTGAAGATGAAGCGTATTAAATTTACACAGTTTGAAAATTGAACAGAAAAAAATCCCAAGATCGCCACTATTCTTTCAAGTGAAAATTTGTGCAATTTTGCCTATGCATTCCTGGTGAGCACCAATATGTAACTCCAAATTTGCTGCTCAAAATCAAAACTAAAAAAGTAAACACATTCCCTGCCATATTTAAGATTTGTTCATAACTTGTATTCATAAAGTGTTGTGTAAATGTGATAAAAAGCTGTTGATTCTTACCTCATACAGTGACAGTGAATATTTATTATGCATACAATTTATTATGCATAACCGTGCTTTATTATCCAAGACAAAACGTGAATTATCAATATGAACGCAAATAAAAACAAATAAATGTTATCATGCTGTTGCTACAAATGCATACCAAATAAAAGTGAAAATATCATCCTCGTATATTTGAATAAAAAAGTATATACATCGGAGTGTACCTGTCTATCGGCGAGGGGCGTCAGTGGAGCAGATTTCGTTGCTTGGTTCAGCCAAAGTAAGTACCCCAGCGCGTAACGTCTTTAGTTGTATCCGCTGACGAAGTTTGTTTGAAAAATGCCGATCCCAAAGAATAATTGCTCCGTCGAATGGCGATTTTGTCGGCATGTTTTTTCACTTTTGTTGCATGATCTGTCAGTGCCACGCATCCACGGGAGCCATAGTTAATTAAGTCACTACAATACACACAATAAAAGACTCCTGATCTTTCGTCAAAAATTTCATAATTCCGCTCAAAACGATCCCAGAACAATGAATTTGCGAGACGAACAGGCCGCCATGAATCAGGTAAAACAATATGTTACATGCAATTTGATTGGTCCAATCGCTTGTAGTTAACCAATCGCTTGGCCGTATATAATCGAGCTCAGACTTCCGCAACAAAAAATGCCTTCAGTGATCTGATTAGTTGAAGCTTTCATACACGTCCAATCGCAGGGCTGTTTACAAACGGAAAACGGAGAGACTGTTCGGGAGAGCTCGTGAAAACTCGATGATAAGGTACCTGACCGCCCCTAAAATTTTCTCAACGGATTTAGACGATTCACAAAAATGATCAATTTAAGAAATAAAACGGCGGATTTCCGCGGATCCGCGGAAAATTGCCATGTATGGGTACCTCGACCTTCAAGTGGCCCATCTCATAAATTAAGTTTTTCAAGGAACGAGCTGTGGCTTGACTGTTTTTTTTTTCTGGAGTCGCAAGTAAAACTCAGTTAGGAGCGTTACATGCTAGCTGCTAGCTATTTGGTGGCAAACTTTGCAACAAGAAGCAGATAGTAACAAGTCTTTGAAAAAGGCCAAGTTCTTTTCTTAAGAGGTTTATGGCAACTCCCATTCGAAGTTTGTTATAAACCAAAAAAAAAAAAAAAGCTCTAAATCACATAACTTTGCCTTACAGAAGTCAGCTAACACGTACATGTAGTGGAAAAAGCCATACATGGGCTGGCAAAACTGACATCAGGTTAGTTCTAAATCTTTCAACAACTTTTATCCTTTGTTGAAAAAGGCGAACATGACTGCTGGCCTTCTTCTATTTCAGCATCAAATTGACGTGTAGTATTTCTGGATATTTATTATTACCGCCCCTGCTGGCCATGTTGCACACACCAAAAAGAGCAGCACAATGTTCTCTTGACTTAAAGCATGAAATCATGATGCACAGCTCCTTAACATTCTATTCAATTGTGTTCGTTTTGTTTTTTCCATGTAGAATATTCTCGAATGCTATTCATCTCATTTTTGTCGGGGTTTTTGGAGGGCTTCTCCAGATAAATGTAATTCTCATTTATATCAAAGGGGAGAAATGATTTCAGATGAGTGTTTTGAGCTGCAAGGGTGTTCACGGAACCATTAGACTCATAATTCAAGACATTGCAGTAATTACACATCACTTCCTCTGTGACTACGGCCTTCCTGTATACAAACAGTGGCCTACCTTCCAGAGGGCCCAGTTGTATCGTACTGTGGTTTTCCCAGAAAGTCTCCGCAGGGCTGTTGTTGTATTCTTTGATCTGCGCGTTGACATGGACCTTCATCACCTTGGCCACGCGCTGCCTGTTGATGACCTTCAAGGTGATGTGGATAACCGCACCAGCCACGGGGGTTTTATCCAGCGTCAGAATGGCAGCCAGCTTGGCTGTTCGAAAATAATTCATTGAACTCAGACGGGTGGTGTTTTGAAAGGCTGCAGAATTATTTTGGATGGAGGTTCTTACTTGTGCCTCGCCTTAGCGTGGAGCTCTCTGAGCGGGAGGAACTGTTTGATGAGAGTGTTGAAAAGCGGCCTGTTTTGGGAAGAAAACAACAGTTGGACTTCAAAACACAACAGGTGGTAAAATTCGGAAGATATGAAATCATTTCAGATGAATTGCCAGTAGAAAAGGAAAAAATTGAGATTGTTATTTATTTATTTTTTTTTACAACTATAAATGTAGCTTCCCTCAAAAAAAATCTCACAATGTCCTAAAACGTGAGTACAGCACAGCATGACGAACGTATTTTGCTTTGACTGGAGAGATTTCATTTTAGGTTCAATTTTAGTTGTAGCAGTGTACACCTGAAGGCAATACACATTGTTAGCGTTTTGCATCTTACTTTTGATATTTTTATAATCCCCAGTGATGTTGTGCAGCCTGGGGAAACCCACAGATTTGGTGCAGATGAGCGGCCCCACTCTCTCCGTGTCCACGCTGCGGCTCACCACGCGGCCCTGGCTCACCACGCATGTGTGGACGTCAGCGTTCACCTCGGCGTAGACAAAGGGGATGTCGTAGAAGAGGTCGATACGGCGCTCCTTGATGGCCTTGACGGGAGCCGGGCCGCAGCAGAACACACCTGGTGAAGACAAAAAAAAAGACAGTTTGGATTTAAAGAAGACATATTGCGATAGGGGGAGCACAGTGCGCTCGTGGTTAGTATGTCTGCTTTACACTTCTGAGGTTATGGGTTTGAGTCCCTGCTTTGCTATGTTTTGCTGACCTCTGCTCCTGTGCTGCGGGGTGGGATCCAGAGCCTGCCAGCCATCCGCGTCGCTGCCCAAATCCCGCCGAGTCATCCAACACTCGACCCAAACGTGGAAGTTCCTGTTTGGGGTTGGTCAATGTCACAATGAAAATATGTTTCAATCAGAAATCAGATTGACATGCTCTATTCACCTAGAAACTGATTGCCTGATTGTATTAAAAATGCACTTTCCGGAACAGAATTGTACTTTACAAAAACACGTCAATGTAAAAACAGAACCAAATACACAGTAAACAGTTTCATGCTTTAATGACCACTGATATCATGCTGCGCCATCTAGTGCGCATGTGTTGGCCGCTAAAGGACAGTGGTCTCTTCTGAACTCAATAAGCTGCAAGAATATTTGTCGTTTTTGACAGAGGATAAGGAATATACGCCTGTGAGTTGGTCTGGATGATTACGGAAAAAATAATAATCATGATTATTTTGACTGAGATTAAAATCAAAGTTGTTGATTATTCAGATTTTTCATTTATTTCAAAACTTCATACTATTTATTCAACTCCCAAAACTCAACTACTCAAAACTACCATCACAGCCTCATGCCAATTCATCCCTGCACAATGAACACTTTATTATTGAAAACTATTCTTTTTGCCCAGTATATTCATCCATCCATCCATTTTCTGATCCGCTTAATCCTCACAAGGGTCGCGGGGGGTGTTGGAGCCTATCCCAGCTGTTTTAGGGCAGTAGGCAGGGGACACCCTGAACCGATTGCCAGCCAATCGCAGGGCACACACAGGCGAACAATCATCCACACTCACACCCACACCTAGGGACAATTTCGAGTGTTCAATCAGCCTGCCATGCGGGTTTTTAGAACGTGGGAGGAAACCGGAGTACCAGAGTAGCAGGCTCATGGAGAACATGCAAACTCCACACAGGAAAGCCGGAGCCGGGATCGAACCCACAACCTCTGCACTGTGAGGTCGATAGGCTAACAACTGGACCACCGGGCCGCCCTGTCCAGTACATAAAGCCCTTGAAATATCAGATGAAATTCAAGCCTTCAGCATTTTCATTCTGCTCTATCCACACCTTAGACACCTACCATCTGTGCATAAGTTGAAGGCTTGAATAAGCATTACCCTTAACTATTTATCAATTATTTTCACAAATCTTTGGACTTATGGGGACCTTGGGGATTGTATTTCGTGCCATGTCATTTTGAAATATGTGTTTGGTATGACAAAAAGAAAAGCCTTTGAATCTTTGTGTGCTTGAATTTTTAGGAATGAAAAATTCCTTGAATCTTTGAAAACTCACTTCACTATCCATCCACTCATTATCTGAACCGCTTTATCCTCACGAGGGTCGCGAGCGTGCTGGAGCCTATCCCAGCTGTCTTCGGGCAGTACACACTGAACTGGTTGCCAGCTAAGAGTATGGTTATACTGTGTTTCTATTTGTGTTGCAGCACCATTTCTGTTTATACAGGTTACGACGACAAAGTTGATGATATTTTCGTTAGCCCATCAATGGTGTTTTGCGTTGAGTGTTAGCATTACGCTACCAGACTTCAGTTAAGTGTTTGTTTTTTATAAATGGTGAATGCAAAAGGAAAACGCTGATGAACGGGCGGCTTCCATCACTGCAAAATTTGCCAGTGTTCCTGTCTGAAACAGACTGCCAGTAATTTGCTGACCAGATTGAGTCTTTCGTGCTCTTCAGCTTCTTTCCCATCTCGCTGTAGAACTCCTCAATGACCAGGTTGCCGTTGGTGTCGTGAGCCGAGTTGAAGTTTGTGACGACGCGGCAAGGAATGCCAAGGACGCGCATGACTGAAAAGACAACGTTGCAACACGGGGGAACATGACAATCATTCTTTTTTCCAAAAGATGACAAAAGGCTCTGCGCTTCTGTCATGGACTGCATGACTAATTACCTGTACACATGACAGCAGCAAACACCCAGCACTGGCCATACTTGACCGGCCGGTACCCGGACTGAGCCCAGGTTCTCAGGATGTCTCCGCTGCCGGTCCACGTGGATGCGTGGACCCCGCCGCTGAAATCGCCTGACCAGTTGCCTTTTAGCACGCCGCGGTCATCTTCGCAGTTGATCTATGTTGATAACAAGTAAAACGAAATAAAACACGATGCTGCCTCACACAGTTGCGTAGGTCAAGATGAGGCGTCAATGAAACGACTCAAATAGTGGCACTATCAAGATCACGGAAGAAGTATAGATTATATTTTATTTAGAGAAAGAGTTTTCAAAGAGCAGCCAATTAGCTTAGCAGGTTTTGCTTTTTTATGTTATTCTAGCTCAGGGGTGCCCAAACTTTTTGGACCGAAGATCTACTTTTCGTTCAACCACCCTCCCCGGATCGCCCCTTACCGCGCACGCGAACTCACGCGCGCGCGCGTGCGCGCGCGCGCACACACACACACACACACACACACGCGCACACACACACACACACACACACACACACACACACACACACACACA